ACGTGACAATGAGACGACATGAATCTTTACATAGTATAAAATAAAGTCACTTTTCGTTCCTGCACCCTGCACTTCCTGTACTTTTTTGTAAATTTATAAAGATCTACAAAAAAATCCGCAACGGTATATGTTTATCTCCTAAGGTTAACCCACAGTAACCATTTATATTTTTTACATATTACAAAAAATAATGGGTTATTTACGAAGCTATTTTAAACAATACATTCTATACTCAATCAAATAGATAGATTCATTATGCATCTAATATAGATCAAAATTGCCGTTCACAGCATATCATGAAAATTAATATCTTAGAAGATATCAGAGATTTAAAATGCAGGGGCAGAGCGGCCGACGGGCCTCAACGTCAATAATTTAGCACTTTATAAGGGAAATCAGTCTCTTATTTTCACCATCTAGTTTAGTAAGGTGAGACTGCCCTTTATTGTCCCCCTACATCACTTAATAATTGTAACACGACGTCGTATAATGTCTAAAGCGTAAGTTATCCATCAAGTCGTTATGGGGTTCATAGCATATCAAGTATACCACCAACATGAATCTTAACATTTAGCTTAAGTTTTGGTGAAGATTCTGATGTTTCAAAAACTGGACGCTAATGATGATAGCAGAGCATCGTGTGCCCAATTCGTATGGTCCGAGCATGGCGAATTGCTTGCGTTTTGTTGGCTCCCCTCCAACTAATATTTATTGTTCCGCTCCAATTTATTAATTTACACCAATTAATAACCAACATTTTTAGTTTTTCGGCATCCATCCCTGTTTCAGGCAATATATAGTAGCATTATTTTGTTTACAATGTGTGTAATCATGGTGTACCTACATGTAGCTTATTGTAGAATATTTAAAAATAAATAAACATAAAATATTATAATATATTACTATCGGGAGACTCCGTTAAGGCAAGGTAAAAACGCCACAACTTTTACAGGATCTAATGGGACTACTCCCTCAGACACGCCCACCACTATAACTCCTGTACACCGGGATTAACAGCAGTGACCCACGAACACGCAACGTAATTAATCAGAAGAAAATTGAAGGAGTTGGAAACATAATAAATCCAGTTCCCTGCTTAGCAAAGCAGGAGACAAAATGAATTAAAACATACATCTACACACCTTTTTTAAACAGGGAACCACCATGGCCACAAAATATTATGGGTCCTTATGTCCTCCATATGTCCTTGAGGACAGCGTCACCTAGTATCGAATAAAGTACAAATATTGAGATTGTGATTAATAATTCCGATAATTTACAGCGCTAGATGGCGCTGCAAGTAACGCTAAAATATTACTGGAATATATTTTTTTTTATATATGTTAGAGGGGGCAGACGAGCAGACGGGTCACTTGATGGAAAGTGACCATCGCCGCCTATAAACGTCTGCAACTTAGGAGCCACTCAGTTTGAAGGTCCGGTCCGGAAATACCGCAGACGATAACCCGTTCTACAGATTGGTAGCGCGGGGCAAAAAGTGTCTCGAAAAACATAAACAAACAACTATCCATGTAATGAGGATGACAATTTTGCCGTGTGGAACGATGTTTATTTTTTATTTTTTTATTCTTATTTGTCTGGAACGGACTATCGAATATTATGGATCTTTCTAGTAAATTCGATAGCGCTATAAAAGCTTAGCGTATTGGCCGTTCGACACAGTATCGTTTTACGACACAGCGAATTAACATCGAAGTGAATTTCAAGTGCGACTAACGAGTTACATAGTGATTTCTTGTTTGTTATAGTGATTGTTTGTAAATACAGTGCAATAAAAGTAATTAACCGACAACTTTTGTTTATTGTATAGCCCGCTCATAACAATATGTATGGCAGAATCGCCTAAACTCACGGAAACTCAACCTATTTGACACAAGATCCCCATAGTATACCGCCCCAGATGTCACCTGTAAGCTATTCAGCATTCTACATTCCCAGAGGATATGATGAGCAGACTGTTCACAGTTAGAGTCAGGTGTTGAGCATTGACACAGCGGTGACTCGACTAATTTAAATGAATACAGTTTGCTCTTACAGTTACCATGTAAGAAATTGAGCGACACAGTGGTAAAGGTGGCGCCCCTTAGATGATTCGTTCCAGCGTTGTTCCCATCATTGTCAATATAGACATCGGACTGCTGTTGAAGAAATCTTGTGAGTTTATTGCGATTTCGTGCCAACAAAAAATAGCATTCCATGTTTTGTAGTGTTGAATAGTACATGGCTGCACGTCTTTGCACCTCGAGATCAACCGGAAGCACACCCACCAACACCGGCAAAGCCTCAGTGCTAACCGTTCTATATCCCTTGTACAAGAATATGAGTGCAAGTCATTGGCCTTGTAACAGTTTGCGACGGACAGGGTCTACGTTGCCCTATGAGCCCATTCGGGTGCCCAATAGTACATAGAACCTAAATAAGTAGCTTCGTATATGAGCTTTAGTGTGTCTCTTTTTAGACTTGACTGACTTTTCATTAACTATTTTAATAAGTTCGATAAATTAAAAGTTTCTTTCTAAAACTAGTCCTAAATAACACAGTGAGGTTTTATTTTTTACTGTGACCTTGTCAAATTTAATGCTCGGCGGTGATTTAAGCTTACATTTTAAAAGTAGCTGGAAAGTTTTGTTGGGCGCAATAGTTAAGCGATTACGTAAACCCCAATGAGATATTAAGTTCAAACATCTCTTGGCTAATTTCTCAAGCCCTGCTCTAGTATCAGATTCCACCAATAATAAACCGTCATTAGCATACGCGTTCAGAGTACATCCGGATGGTATTGGTAATGCAATATTGGTATCTCAAGAAAATGGTCGAAGCATATTCCGCAAGTATGGACCCAGCACTGATCTCTGAGGACATCCCATTGTAAGCGCCATCGACACAGAATGATGACCAAGTCTTAGTTAAGTTGTACCTTGTGAAAAGTACGAAGAGATAAGGAGAAATTCGAGAAATTCGTATGAAGATGGTAGGTCCGACATACCGAGAAGTAGCCGCGTGTAAGCGTCACGTCAATAAAAGACTCACCCATTGGGTTGCAAAGAAATGGTGGAATGAAAGTTCCGCAATGAAATTTTTAACCGCACAACGTCGAACCGTATCGGTTGAATGCAACTTGCCATACCATAATGTAGATGGCGCATTGACATCGGAGCTAATGATAATTTTATGTTCCACGAGAGACTGCAATATGTAAGAAGTAAATGATGTAAGTGAGGATCAATAGGATGTGAAAATTGAACATGTAGAGGATGTGATCTCAGCAACGGCGCAGTGTAACGTCACAAGATTACGCAAAGATGTTACCGTAAAATTAGAACTGCCTGTCTAGCTGCACTGCATCATTGATATGTTCTTGTATAAGGATAATGTCTAACTTTTGTTCTAAAATTAAACGGTTTAATTCTGATCTGGCTATTTTATCGTTAGTTCCTGGATGACCGAGCTTTTTTTGGTAAATTTTCTAAAAATGAAACCTAAACTCAAAAAAAATCTCGGTCATCCGGTCATATAATCGATCTCGATTAATCGCCCCCGACACCCCTGCATACTAAATTTCATAAAAATCGTTGGGGCTGTTTCCGAGATTCAGATTATAAATATATAAAGGGTGTAAGGGACATCGTAACGAATACTGAAATAGTGTATTCAGACCGTCAGTCTGTCTGAAAATCATTGGAATTTTCTGCCGGAAAATTAAACTTTTTATGCCATCAGCTGACAAAGGTAAAGACCATTTCCCGTAGGTATCGCACAAAAGTAATAATTACCTGTGTATTCCGTGCAAACAGTCTACGCACACTAACATAAGTTGTCGACAGGAGGGAAGGCCTCGCGCGCTTCGCCTGTTTGATTGATTACATTGCAGTTTTTGACCGTATGCAGTATTTTTTAATTTGTTTTCAGTAAAATGATTAGTTTACTCAATGTGATATCATTTTTAACCAAAAATAAGTCATGAATTTTCTGAAGGAAAATTTCAATGATTTTCGACTCATTCACGAATTATGGTCTGAAAACACCATTTCAGTGTTCGTTACGATGTCCCTTACATCTTGTATATACAAGAATTGCTCGCTCAAAGGTATTAGATAAAGATTTAACTGGCTTATTGAAATATTATCCATTACTTAGTAAGTTACTCTATAAACTAATCAGTAATTGGTATTTAAGATTAACTGCTCTAATTTTAATTTATATGTAGGGCAGCCCTGTGAGCCGCAGCGATGGTCAGAAGGATTTCAAAATAACATTCAATCGAAATATTAACGGTGATCTAATGAATGTTAAATTGAACTCCAAATACAGGTTCATCATTTATTACATTATAAGAAGGTATTCTACCATTAAAATAAAGATTAAAGTAAAGAATATTTTCTAACATGATATACAAATTGATGCTATAATTTTCAACATCATACTAAAAAGGTACTCATCTTATATTTTCTTATGTATTTGATGTAAGATCTATCATTCAGTTTAGTTCTAAGAATTTACTAGATACTTCTGTGAAAATTTTCGCACATTTCTCGTATAATATACTTATATGTAATTTAAATAGCTTTTTTATAGTATCATTGAATTAAATTATCATTATTATTATAATTTTACACATTATAAATAAATTATTAATAATTATTTTAATTGATGACCTATATTTCATTTAGGTCAATTTTTTTTTTTCTGAAGCTGTTTAAAATTATTTAAGTCAACATCTGCGAACGAGTTTTTAAATATTAAATTTATATCGAGTTGCAATGTGTTACTACTAGTGAAGCATACTTTAAGAAAGTTATACTACTTAAAGCACGTTATGCATATATGCATTATGCAAACTTCCTACACATTATTATATTGTATTCGTAATTCATTAAGTGTGTGTTCTTAAATTACGAATGAGACACATACAAAAAAAATAACTTGCAGAATTTGTTACGCTCATACATAATAAAAACACAAATTTAAAATATATTTACCGATGCTGTTGCTGAATCTACCGGCGTTTCTTAAGTAGGAGAAGAGTTCTCCGCCGCATACGTAGTCAAAAAGCATGTAGATGCACGAGTCGTCATGTGTCCACCACCGTCTGCAATAAATCATTAGCTACTAGAAAAACAGTAAAAGCACAACTTCAAGGTGAATGGAAATCCACGTTTTAGCAACTTAGGTAGTATCTATTCTATTAATTGCAGTATAGATGTGTGCCAAGAATATTTTCCACTACGATCTTATGTGAAAAATCTTTTTTTTTTAACTTTACGTTATTTACAGCTAGCGCATTATGCCTTTCACGTTGTTTTAATTGGCAATTCCAGACATCAATAACTAAATAATTAAGCCAAGGTGTGGCTAACGACTTAAGGAATACAAATGAAATTTGTAGACTTCTGTAATTGTGAACTACAATTCAACCCATTCAACTTACCAACTTCACTTCAAGTGTATTATTGTATTACAATTAGCAGCAAACCCCTTAAACATAAACCAGTATTGCATAGGTATATATAGTATTCTTTAAAAAACAAAAAAAAACAAGAGATATGCGTCGTAAACAGAGCATAGCACGCGTTTGATATTTTGTCGCCTTACTATGCCCGTACTTGGCACTAACATGACGCCTGCAATACTCTCAGCAAAATAACGCTTCATCACTTTGAAATAATAATAAATGGTCTAACGCTTTTAACGTGTGTTTATCGGGTCAAGTAAATCTAACACGGAAGTGGCCGCTCAAAGTAATAAGAACAAAAGTTATTCAGGTCAACCGATTCCGAAAAACTAATAAATTTACTAGCTGAAATCGACATAAATAGAAAACAAAACTAAAAATGAGGTAATAAAGTTGTAGGTTGGGCATTAAACATATTTTTACTCGACGAAGAGTTCTAGTGTGTATTACCAAATCCGAGGTAGAAGTAAATAATATAACCGTCTGAATGCCGACATTGAACTTGCACTATTGTTAACTAACCTAGCAGGAAACGCACAGAAACTACTTCGTATGATATAGACTGAAACGATTTGAAAAGGATGGTGTTCATTTTTATTTCTTCAAATACAATCTACAGGATAAAGGAATACATAATGAAACCGTGTAAGGTAAGGTTAGCACAAATTCTTGTATAGAAAGATTTTTGAGAGAATTAAATATGCATAAAGTACATTTCTTTATCTTCCTTACTATTGTTAACCCAACTAGAACTAAAACCCTTTAAGTTTTAGCTTACCCGTCAACAAATATGGAGAATTTTGATAAACACTTACAAGTTTACTATGAAAGGATGGTTGATCTCGGCAAGTATGTTTTTTTCATTCATGACATGATCGACTTGTTTAAGTCGGATGACATCAGCCATAGACAGTATCTTCATCGCAAGGTATTCATCAGCAGCTTTGTCTCGACATAAACAGACACGTCCGAAAGTACCAGTGCCTGAAACAATTAACGAAATTTTAATATGTTTATACCATAAACTGTATTTTTTTACTGCATTGTTCCTTTGATTTAAAACTTTCTCATAAATCTCGCAAGCGGAAATCTAATAACAGTTTAATAAAGTTATAATAGCCATCAGTTATTTCAATTAGTATTCATTTTTATACTAAGAAATGAGTTTTAAATTAATCACATCATGTCTTAACACATAAAATAGTTTAACTAGCTCAAACGATTCAAATTTCGTGATTCATCCTGTTACATTTCAGAATTACACTACCCACAAACAGTTTTATTAAACAAAATTTGGACTGTAAACATTTCGGCATTACAATATACGTAAAGAAATGAATCACTACTGGAGATTCCCAAATCAACACATAAATTACTCCCAATCCTCCATCATCAAAAATATGTTTGGTTGTATCATTCAGTACCCACTTACTTATTACTATTTATACTTAAATAGCAACAACTTCGTTCATTTAACAACATTAGAGATTGAGGTAACATTGTCGGCAGTGAAACTTAGAAACCATCGCTTTAACTATATTTTTGGTATATCTTGCTCATACTAGATTGCCCCAGTTTAACCTTCTTATTTGCTACATATTTATGCAAGGGTGCGCTGCAAATACCTACCTTTTCTGTAAGCGTTCGTTGCTACAAGAACTGTTGAATGACAGAAAAATATTGAACAGTGAATTAATTTCTTACTTTACGTCCATGTGACGGTCTAAGCGTTTACACCCAAATACTACGAAATAATTTATTCCGATTTTCAAAAGTCCGATTTTCATTATTATGAAAATCCTAGAAACAAAAATCCTAGAAACGTTTAAAAATCGGAAAACAAACACATTAGATATTTCTAATGTGTTTGTTTTCCGATTTTTAACGTTCGAAAAATCAAATGCTTGATGGGTTCTCGGTCCGAAAAACGAAATGCCGATATTTCGAATAAATTACTAAAATTACGATTCTATTTCTGATTCCATTATTGTAAATATTCTTACACATATGTATTCAAAATCTATAATTAACGTTTAATATTATTTAAAAACGTCTATTTTGTTACTGTTACTGTGTTTTCTTCTTCTCCTTCTCTCCTCCTATCTACTGTTATTGAATTCTTTGGGATAAGTAAGAACAATAGCGATTAACCCTAAATACTCTCTATTATTGGTGAATCATGTGGGTTAGGTTAGGTTAGAACTGTATAGGCGGCGGAGAAGGCCCGGGAGGACGACCTCCACTCGGACCTGATCCGCCGCCGGCGAACCGGGCGGCGGAGGCGCGCTTACCTGCGCCTCATGCCGCCCTGAGTGTGGCCGCGGGTGGACGGGATGGGTTCTCCCCTCCACCCGCATTAGTTGGCCAGCCGCGAGGGGGCGGCGTCCGCGTGTGCCGGACGTCGCCTAAAGAGAGGAAAGATCAGAGACGGAGCCCGCACCAGGAGCGGGCCGGCGCTGGGAGGGGTCCAGAAGGAGATAGCTACCTGGACCCCTCCTAAACTGGAAGCGCAAAGAGGGCACACCGTGTGGTTTTAGTCGGTTCGAGTCCGACACACCGCCCCGCCGAACGGGAGCCCCGGCGGGGTGACGGTCCGAGGGGATTTCCACACGTAAAAAAAAAAAAAAAAAAAAAGGTTAGAACTGTATCCATTAAAGCCTGATGCGCTCTATTTTTGGTGAGTGGTAAATTTTAGATTGTTCAAGTTATCATTAAGATGGATCATTCGGCATTATTATAATCGATATTTTGAAATTCGTATTTGTGACTAACGGAATAAAGTTTTTCGTATTTCTGTAGTATACCCGCTCTGAGCGGATGGGAGCGAGACCGAAAAATGTGTAACAAGACTTTTGCCGACAGTTCGCGTCGACGCTCATATCTTTTTGATATTTCATATATATATAGCCAACGTCTACCAAAAAGCGAAAGGAACATCATTCCGAACGGGGGTCAATAGAACTTTCACGCCGTTTTATATGCGTGTATAGAATCCCACCGTCTATCTAAAAGTACATGGCTTAAATATGATGTACTCCTACACCACCTACACCAGTTTTTCGTTTTAGTGTCCGCATTAGGTTTACTTCGATACTAGAGTATACGAGTATATCGATATCACCGCATGAAATGCCAAACACATAAGCCCAAACTTTATATTTTTTGAGGGTTAATAGTATTTTGTCTACAATAAAGTATACCTTCCTAAATTTACTATTCTCAAACATATTAGATATATATTTATATATTATATATAGCAAATGCTGTCGAGATAGTTAACAGGGAAAACCCGTCGTCTTAATTTGTTTCTAGGATTTTTATGAATAAGAAATATTATTCGCCATTTAGTTGGTTCGATTAGTACATTGTCGCTGTTTTATTGGTCTTATTGTAATAGTAACTGTAGTCGTTCCTTTATGAACATATTTTGTTCATATTCTACTATTCACTATCGTGGTCTTTCATAATTTTTGATGTACGTCTTTGGGCAAATTCGCTCTCTTTTCTCATTGAATCACTTACACGAAGCAAACTTAAGTGGCGTAGTAAGTAATGAAAGGTTAATATTGAGTGATTTATAGGCACATTTTCTTTCTGTTTTATTAAGGAATACCTGATACATATTTAAACTTTTGGTTCTTTACTGTCATTTAATCTGTTTTGGTTATTAACGTTTTAGTAAATTATCAAAGTAACACTTTTTTATAATATACATTTTTCACATAATGGCCCTTGATAAGTATGAACATAGACTTACCTACACTAGTAACGGACATGCATAATCAATTTCAAACTTGACGCAATCTGTACTGCTTCGGAAGATAAAAGGTAAATGGAATTGCAAAGCAATCAGTCAATGCCAAGTCTTGCCAATAACCCACGCTTATCTAAGAGTGAATGTTTATATAATAAATCTTTTTAAAGGAAAATTGATTACAAACGTAAAGACCGAAATAGGATATGAAGCGAGCGCCTGACGACGACGGACGATGCCTATGGTCAGTAGTAGAACTACCATGACTACGACAATGATGCTGATAATTTTCAGGGGAAATAATAATGTCTGCGTGTTCAATGAATTCATGAAATATAGATATTACAAGTTTTTACTGAGCTCATTTTGAACTTTGCTTAGTGTAGTACAACATGGGGCAGTTGTGGGGTTTTTAAAGCTTTCTCCTATTCACCAACTGAGTGAATGAAGACTGACTGACTGAAAATAAAGAATTTGACCTTCTCTATAATCATAATATTATATTCCATGAAAAAAAATGTATTTGCGTCTTGCTCAAAACATCCGTCTTACACTCAATATGCATACGTAGGGACCCCTTTATAGAAAATATGTATCACAATAGTCATTGTAATTCGTATTTTAGGACGATTCAAAAATAATATCTTCAACAAGAGGTTTATTGTACTTCCATATAAAATCAATTTGTTTGGTATATTGCCGTGCCTAATTCTTAAAAGAGACACTACAACGAGACAGCATTTACTACTTCACCATGTAATTGATTTTACGTGTGTTTGACGTAACATTTGTTGTAACAAATATTTACTGAAAAACTATACAATACAAGTACTTAGTAAAACTATACGAAAAACAATATCAACAATGCCAGCTGTTTTGAAAAAAGTTTGCAATGTTGTAGACAAGTTCCAGTAAGAGAGAGATTGCTTCTTTCCACAATGTTGTGTCTCTACACATAAATTGTAATTTTCTCTCTTTACTCTTTACTTTATCTCAAAGTATATCAATCTTTCAAAAACTATCACCGACTTCAATGGTCCCTAAACCTTAGAAAGTAAATCGTAATAAGCTAGGTATTTATTACATTGATAAGTGAAATTAAAAGATGATGACATCCTTTAATTTATCAAAGACTTTTTTTTTAATTTGATTAGAACCAATTCAATATATATATGTTTTTATAAATCATCTAAGTTACCATTACCTAATGACAATTCCTCATAAACGTTTATAAAATATAATTTTGCCCAATGTATGCGTTATTTGTAGAGAAAATCTGTTGACATTTCCTACTGAAAGAAAAGAATTCAAATGGGTTCATCCATTTTTGAGTAAAAAATGATGCTGACCAACTTAATAATTAAAGTCAGTTATATGTTCATATATATATACTAGCTGATGCCCGCGACTTCGTTCGCGTGGAGTTTGAAAAGCGCTGCCTTAGTGGGTTCGACTCCCGGACAGGGCAAAATTTTATAGGGTTTTTCTGAGAAAAAATAGCCTAAGTTACTCCTTATATAGACAGCTACCTATAGTAAAATATTATCAAAATCGGTACAGCCGTTTTGAAGATTACCCGGAACAAACAGACAACAAACATTTAAACTGGTTTTTAGGCATAGGTATCGCGCAAATAACTGCGTGAGCATTAAAAACACCTATTATTTTGACATTACAAAGAGACACTTCAATTTTTTTATACGCTTTATATTAGCTTTACTTGTATGTTTGTATGTTTGTTTGTAACCGACTCCTTTGGGCGTGATTTTGTAGATATATCGAGGACCGATGACAATTCACTAATTTAAAAAAAAATACTTTTAAAAAACTAAAAAACACGCTTTTTATAGACAACCATACTAAAAAATAGAAAATAATTTTTAATCAATTTGAAAAAAAGCGTTGGGTGCCTGTTGTCAATAGTAAAAAGCACCCCACGCTTTTTTATAATAAAATATAAAATAAAAAGCGTGATTTTTAGTTTTTTTAAACTATTTTTTTTATTATTTGAATAGATAACGAATATTTAATGCCTTAATATAAATATGCAATTTTATGTTGTTATTCCTGTGCAATAGACGTATGCTTATTATGGCATACTCACACTTGCTGTTGGCATAGGCAATGCCAGTGACAATTGTCGATATTTGATATTTTTTGTTTTATACAAAATAAATGTTTCATTTCTTTTAATTTAAGCTTCAGTTGTGATAAAGTGAAACGTATTTTG